GTATATATGTACAAAACTGTCAAATGTTATTTTAATGACAAAAATTCTTCGGACTGGATTTTTTCAGTGAAATTTTCCAAGGAAGAAAATCAACATTTATCGCAAGCTTCCGATTGATCACAATATTTAGAAATCAAGAGCGAAGTGAGGTGGAGAGAGATCTACTGTGTATCTAGTCCTCACCTTTTATATTTTATATATTCAAGACTAGATCGAAGAGAGACATTTTACAAAAGGGAAAAAAAAAAAATGGATATCCACGGGCCGGGAACAATAAATTTATCCTGATGCGATCGATAAGAACGTCGTTGCGAACATCGGTTATGCAGAGTGAGGAGATTGAAACCGAAAGAGACAAATGCATGATTAACGAATCTCCTGTCGTCGCAATAAATTTATTATAAATGCAATTACGTATTGTATATCGTTACTCGCAATAAAAACGTAACGCCGTAAGTGGCTCATTCGTGTGAATGTTACTGTGGCGCGTTATATTGGGAACAATCTCTTCGCAATAGCACGTTTCGAGTACAGTAAACGTGAACGTCGTGAGCCGCGACATTCGCAGCGACGAGCGCGCGACAGAGTCAACGAGACTATTGGAGCCACCTGGGCGCGCTCGTCGCGACGAATGCCAGGCCCTTAATTATAATTCACATGCGAGCGAATGAGAATTACTCGATAAATAACCACTGTACTGTTTCGTGAATTTCGTTACATCAAGCAATGTAAATATATTTTTCAAAAAAAGGCACATGCTACCACCAGTAATTTTTATATAAATTTCACCTGAAATGTCGACGAATTTCCTTTCAACCCTTTCGCTACTGGATAACAGCGGCTATAGTCTTCAAAATTGTATATTTTAATTGTAATTACTATATTTAAAAAAAACAACTGTATGAAGAAAATTAGCCGGTCTTTAAAATAGAATAGGAATCGAGTAACCTTTAGTGGAAATTATTGCATGTATATGCATGATTGTAATGTGAGCAATTGTCGATTGAACATTGCAGTAACGAAAGGGTTAATAATAGATTCTTTGGTGAATTTAGAGTCAGTATTTTTTTCTCAACAAGAGAACCTAAAAAAATATTTAATATGATATAAATATTCCAGTGGCCCATTATTTAAAAAGTGATCGTTATTAAAGATACAATTTTTCCTATTAAATTAATATTTTTGTACATACAAAATTAAAATTATTATTATGAGAGTCAATTAAATATTTGCAAAAGACGGATATGCATGTGATGTGGAAAAAGCAGAAGATCCTTTCTAAATGAGAAATTTTCTAAGACTTATCAACAAATGCTTCTTTATAGCGTCAATAAAATATCACTTGTTCTTAATAAAAATCGTTAAGGACCAATTGTCTCAATTGTCTCATGATATAAACTCGTTATTTCATACTAGCTATATTGATTACGAGTATTATGCAATTAAATATTACACAACGATGCTTAATTCTCTTTATATGCAAACTTAATTTACCAACGTCCTTCAATATTATTTCTAGGTTTCATATTTATAAATATTAAATAATAATTGTTTTGCTTTAAGATACGGTCACAGATTGGGATATGTCCGGCCACTGGGACATTTATCTTATTAAATATTTGCAACAGATGTCAAATATGCATATGTACCAGTGTTCGGACATAAATGTCTTACAGAATATACACGTACTATTTAAGTGGGAAATTCAGAAATTTGTTTCTAAAATTCATAAATTCATAAAAAATGCATTTTTAAGGGCTACAAAATATCGCTTACTTTAAAAATCAATCTACATTCTTGTGCAATTAAATATTACACAACGATGTTTAATTCTTATTATGTGCAAAATTAAAATTTACTAACATCTTTTAGACATAATTTTTGGACTCCATATTTATAGATATTAACATAGCTGCTTTGTTTGTTAATATATGGTTGGAGATTGAAACATGTCCAGCCACTGGGACATTTGCTCTTATGTCACAGTAAAATTATCGGTAGATATTGAACGCAATATGTTCAAAAAATTTTACCATAATTGAAGTGCGCTATTTGAAAAGACTTTCTCTGTAATGTCGCACCAATATGAATCATTCATCTCGATTTACAAATTTCACTATTTTGTTTTTGACGAGACGTCTAATCATGCTCCGCTTTGAAACCACTTCTACATAAAACAATATGTATACGTAAAATATTACATCTATCCTTTAAACATTCTAAGTTATGAGCATTTCAAGTATTATGCATTTTGTAACTCAACATTATTAAAAAAAAAAAAGAGTAATGTAATCGTAAACCGGAACTATTTCGTGATGGAGATAAATTTATTGCACAACGAAAACTATTTCTTTATTTGGTCCTGTCTCTGGATTTACTTTCAACTTGAATTTGGTACGATCTTGCTGGTATCAATGTGTCATTTAATAATAATAAAAAAAAATCGCAAAATAACTCCGATTTATATTTTTATCGAAGTTTGTAAAAATATGAGAATTAAAAATTTCGAAAATCTACAAATTTCAAATTAATGGATTTGAATAACTACAGACTTGTTAGAGAAGACGTTTTCCGTTAATAGTTTTCGTGATCTATCGTGAACTATCGGTCGTAAGAAACAATCTAGTCCTCGATATTTCTAATAACTCTCTCTTACCGTTTTCGCGCAAATATACATATATAATCAACTAAATTTGTTGTATCACTTACATACATTAGATGTCCAACAACGCGCGATATGATACTAAAAATTGTAGAGTTAAGAAATTTCTTAAAAGTCCATGTTCTCTTTTTCGCTCGACGACCAGAAATGCGAACATAATCCCGTCGATTTTCGATCCTGTTCCTTGTTGCGGCAAATCAGAGAATTCTTTCGTAGAATAAGAGATACGCTTGACTCTTGAGCACCGTGTTCTCATCTACCTCTGATACCCTGCAACAGAAACAGAAGATGAGAATTCATGAATGCTGGGAACAAAGTAAGACAAGATTAAGAATATAATATGTCGAAGTAATTTATTCGGAATTATATATTAATTAATTTCATGTTTGATTTTAGTTTCAACCAGTTAACTTTTTAAAACACTTTTCAATGTGTATTTTAATTGACAGTTTTTTGTTGCACTTTTCGTGCACACAATTCTTGAATATTCTTTATATAGTTGACGTATTTATCTTTTTATAAGATTTGTAACAAATTTCACGTGAGAGTAAAGATCTTACCGAGAATCTGATACGTAGTACCATCTTCCAGGTGGTGCTTCTACAACAGACGAAGCTTTCGCTGATGCTGCCTCTTCTTCTGAATCCGAGCTCAGATTGCTCGATTCATTGTCCGGTTTAGGATCCTTATCTTTGGGAAGGAAGTTCCATCGCGGGTCGTCTTGCGGTAATGGCAGTCTTGTCTGTTCACAAAGATTATTTGCAAACAGCCGCATTGCGTATAAAATCTCGGTTTCAAAGTTCTAAACTTAAACGTAATTTACCTTGACATACGCAACATAGTGACCACCATGAACAGTTCCACTATGTTCGACAACTCCATAGAGCGAGTAGATCCGAGGCTTCTTATGGCCTTTGCAGACCGGCGCCAAATCCAACAATATCGGGAACGACACGTGCTTGAAAACTTTCCGAAAGCCGACTCTTTGCGTCTGGAATCTCTTCAGATGCAATATTAATATCGGAGGGACTTGAGAGATAAGGTACTGCTTGGTACTCGAAGTGCATATCATTTTCGACGGATTCTCTTGATTCTGAAAGCAGAATACGATAGTGCTGTTGATTTTCCGCTCGCGGAGGGATTTTGTTTCTATATGATGCTGTTAATTTTTTGGCATTACCTTCTTCTCGCGAGCTGTGCACGCCTCGCACACGACTTTATTGCTGCCAGTCATCAACTCCAACGCGGTGAATTGATTCAAGCACGATTCCACGGAACACTCGCCCTCTTTGGTCGTGTATCTGCTGGGCGACTGATGCCCGGCAATACCCAACCTGGACATACCCTGTCATTATATCGCCTACTTCATTACACAAATCCTGCTCCTCAAGATCGTCTCCATTGGAAATTCCGCTATTGTATTTTCTTCTATTGCATCTCGATAGAGCGTTCGCCATCCATGCCTCGACGCCGTCCAGTCTGCAAAAATATCATATAACTCTTCATTTAACATTCTAGAAATTGAAAGCAACATTTCCAAATTGTCCGCGATTAAATATTAAAGTTCGAAAAATACAAATCTTGACTTTTTTTAAAGTGCATAGTTAAGGTTATTGAAAATTTTCAGGTCAAAGCTCGACAATTTTCGGAGTTGGAAAGTCGCGAGAATACTAATGTGAAAGTTTTTAACATCTGAATATGCAACCTTTCCGCGACTTCATCGCCATTGACGGGGCTGGTAGGGCTCTCCTTAGAAGCGGCGGAGCTGCTCAAGCTCGCGGTAGGCGCCTCCGGGCTGGTGACGTCGGAGTTGACGATCATGGAGGTGGACAACGCCGTGGCCGACGCCTCGTTCTCGGAACTGACCGTACCGACGTTCCGGTCGTGTTTCTCGGACGGTATCCTGATTTGAGTCAAGTCCGTCATCGACACGTCAGTCGGACTAGGGCTAGTTAATGCGTTTACGCTCGTCGGATTTCTAACTTGTGCCGCGTCCAAATTATTGTCCAGATTACCGTCCTCCAAGCTCGACGTGTTGTTGACGTCGCTATTGAAATCGTTGCTCGGATGATGAGCGGGCGATACGGGACTGGCGACGGCGGACGCCTTCTCCGAGCTGTAGCCAGACTCTCCGATCTCCGGATGAGAATTGTCCACCTCGATGTTATCCTCGACATCGGCGTCGCTCTCCTCTGAAAGTTTTGCACAATCCTTCGTTTATGAAAAAATCACTCGGCAATGTCTATTTTTTTTTCTAAATATATATATGTATATATAAGTTCTACTTGTTGACTTCAAAATAGTTTAAATAAATTACGAGTTAAAAAGCTTTCGACAATGTGCTTGCATTTCAAGTGATTAGATAAATGTTTTTTTCCTTATTTAACTTGTAATTTTTTTATTAATACAGTTTAAAGATTTTGTAGTCACATTTATAATATCAAAATACGTAAAGCGTATCGCTGGACGCATAAAAAAAGCTGAAAAAATACCTGACTTTAGAACGTTATCGTTATTTTCTTCCGTAGGATTATCCGAATCCATCAACACGTTAGAATTGTTATGATTCTCCTGCCTTTTATTTTTTCGGTTCTTTCTACTTGGTTTCTTTTCCTTCTTCAACTGTTTCCAGGGCGTGTCGGAGGTCTGATGATCACGCTGCTGAGTGTTTATCATGTCGGAAGTATCCTCGATTTCGCTATTCTTCCTTCTACGCAGAAAAATAATAATATACTATGCCAATGCACTAAATTAATGAAATCAGTTACTGGTATTAGGAGATAAGAAACTTGGTCTTTACTTCAAGAGCGGTGGCTGTGGCTTGTCCGCAGTGACGGGTAAGCTCAGGTCCAGAAATGGCTCGGTGCGTTGCGACGAGTGATGGCAGTCCAAGCACTCCAACGTAGACACCAGCACACCTCGGAACACCGCTTCCGGTCCTAGCAGCCGCGTGCTGGCTTGATTGCCGTAGAATTTCACGCGAGATTTCAAGCCCTTTTCCACGCAATCCGGTTTAGTCTTCCCACTCAGGCCGACCTCCTTCAGAATTATGATCTGGTATCTCTGTAGAATATACGAATTTTTAATTCGTCTATTCGTCTTACCTGTGACACTTTGCAGTTTTATACGGATCTTCGAGAGAAAAAGTATTTAGAAAATGCAAATGAGAGAATTTCATTCGCTTACTCTGAGATCTTCGTTCCGTACTATTTCCAGCAAATGACGGAGAAACTCGTGCGAGTCGTGCTGACCTCCGTCCACGCACTGTGTAGTCTTTTTCTGAGCTTGCAGAGGAGATTCGTGGGCGTGTAGGTTTGATGGCCATTGGTGTTCTGCATTTTTGACAGGGTTTCACAGAGGACCGAGGTGAAACTGCCCCATCGTTCCAAAGTTCCTTCAATCGGTGGCTGTGAATTGAATAAAACGTGAATATCAATGTGAAATCAATTATACGATTTATCTCCTTCTTTAGAATAATTTTTATAACAACATACCAATTCTATTTCTTCCTCGGTATCTGCAGGCTTGTGCTTTCCCCCTGGCAAGACAAACTTCTGCCCGGGCAAACGTAAATCGTCCAATACTTTTACCAGATAAGGAGTCTGTGCTAAGCACTGGAGCACAGCATTGAAAAAGCAGGTATTTCCTAAATTTACTAGACCCTATTACGCATAATTTCAAAGAATCAATTATACAAATATTTTAAATATCCTATGATTATATAATATTCTGTTATGTATTATTTATTAGAAAGAAAATTGGAAATCCTTAAAATTAGAAGATCTAAAATCAAATCTAACGAGTAATGATTAATCACACAACTCACTCCAACTTTAGGAAGATTATTTAATATTTTTTGCTTTCTCCTTTTTTTCTTGTACATCGATTACTATTTCTTCTTGGCACTGAATTTGTGGCGTTTTTGATTGTTGAGGTATTTGTGGCATAGTAACGCACTTCTTAATAAACTCCACGGTTTCCAACAACTTTTTTCTATAAAAAATTATATATTTGTAGATGTAAAAATAGATTTTTTATATTAACTTTTATAAGTTGGATAGTTCTTTTTTATGACTTTCAGTAATCAACTTTTACAGATATGACAAAAGAAAAAGTGAAATCGGCTTTGATCTTTCGAAAAATGAAAGACGACTTATCATAATACACATTTAACTCACTTGCTGCTGGGATAAACTTCAATTTCACACTGATAGCACCAAACGTTCCAATTGTGAGTATCTGTTACCATGCAATGGCAGTCACTGTGGGGCTTTCTATGGTGTTCTGCGGCATGCTGCTTCTGCTCCTTGCCACAGCCTTGCTCTCCACATTGCAGACAAATCCATAGAGGCTTTGTGACATCGCACTGAAAATTAGGATAATTTGAAGTTGGATTAAAATATCTGGTAAGGAACACACATCTTTGACTATCTTAATTCAGATAATGCAACTTACCGTTTCTTCTTTCTTTAAGTCCACTTCTAACTTTTTGCACATGGAACATTCGGTCACTATACCAGTCTTCTTTATGTTCTTCTTCACTTTAGTCAAGTTGATAGCCTTAACTATATGTGGACATTTCGCACCTGTCGACAATTCATTTGTCAATAATGTTAATATTAAAATACAAATATAAGTTTGATCAATATATTATTTCCTACATTTTACCAGACCCAGTGATTGAATTTATTATATTATAATATTGATTTTAAGCAGTAGAATAGCTTTTTGAATTTAAAAATTAACTTCAAAATTGTAATATTTGCTATGTTGTTTAGATGTTGAAATATCCATATTTTTGGAGTTGCTAAATGTCCAAATCCATGTAATTCTACATACATAATTTTGTAAATATCTTGTTTCTATGTTCTATCTCTTTATTTCTAAATTACTGGATACTCTTTCTGATCTAAGAATCCAAAGATATAAGATGTTAAGAATTCAAGGAGCCAAAATATATTAAAAGTTATGAATGTGCAAAAATTCAGGAGAGTAAGATCTAGAAATCTCCGGGTCTGGGAATTTCATGACCTCTAAAGCCAGGAATCTTTATATGGATGCACGCGTTTCTAACCTGCACTGGCTTCCTCGCAGGACTCAGTGGAGGCTTCGCTGACATCGGGATTTGCATCTGGCTGCCTGTTCCGCTTCTTGCTCATCTCGTCGCGTTACCCGTGAACGTTCTCGTTGTTCGCGTACGCGCGTCCGTGCTCACCTCGCCAAGGATCTCCTCGCTCGTCAGCTAAATCCTGACGTTCGCGTGCGTAAAAAAACATGTGGAAACTATCGAAGAAGGTTAAGGATATACAAGAGAGAGAGACGAGAGAGGCGCTTCTCGGAGTAGAAGTAAACTACAGATTCGTACCTTCGAGAAGTTGCAGCTGACTGTATATCATGGGAATTTCTGCAGTAGCGTGACTGTCTAACAATCACATTGTCTTTGCATTGCCATTGTCATTGCAATTCCTATCTTATCGTCGAGAAAAATGTAAAATTTTTGCGAGAATGTAAATAAATATAATTATAAATTTTAATCAATTATTATAAATTATATCTTTGTTGGAAACACGTGTACAAATTATGCATGTACTAAAAATACGAGAAAATAAAAAAATTTTTTATATATTTTGCCAATCTACAAAACTGGCAATACGAATAATGATTAATTTATTTCGATATATAAAAGAAAGAAGTCGGATAATATTTCGCTTCTGACGTCATACTTGAGTATCCCAACGGAATTCAATAGCTGCGTAGCTGCTGCTAACTGTATTCACCCGATTTATGAAAGACATGGCCGCGCCACATCTTCCTACGCGACAGCTGCTTTCTCAGTAGCATTTATCTTTTCGTAAAAATGATAATCGGAGGCTGATTTGAAGACTCCAAGGAGTATTTTCTGCCCCCAATTAATAAATCGTACAGTTAATTTGCGAAAATCGCACGGAATCGAGCAGATTTTGCGATTCAACGACGGAACTACTTCGCGCGCCGACGTGGAGGGATACACTTTAGCAGCGGCCACGCTGGTATATAACGTCCCACTCGGCCGTTGCTCGGTCACTTCGTGAGTCATCTCGCTAGGGTGTGAATGCATCTCGCTCGTGCACATTTAAGGGAGTGGTCGACTCGTCTTCGCAGCAAGCAATCCGTCGACGAGCGCGAGCTAGATACAGGTTGGTGTGTATTCGATAATTAATATTTAATTATGCGGTGAGAAAATGAACTAGAATAGTTGATTCGGGGGAGAACATTGATCGAAATGGTGACTGCAACGAGAGACCCTCGAGATCGACCGACGGAGATCGAAGTTGGCAAGCCGAGCCACACGGAACAGCTTACCAAATGGATAACCGATGTGCGTTACAAGAAGCTGAAATGCTACCGCAGCCCGAAGCGCGACTTCCGGGTGGAAGCCGTGCTGACCCGTACCTTGCACAAGGCTGAATACGAGCTGCGGGTCAAACAGTTATCCAGGATGCACCGATGGCGGCGGTTGAGAAAGCAGCTTCTCAAGGGAGTGGAGTACGGCAGTTGCGGCTTGTACAATGCGGCTGAACGAGAGTTCATAAAGTGTAAGAAGAATTCTTCCACGAAGGAGAACAATCCTTGGGGAGGAAACCTGTGCGAAGACCTCAGCAGCTTGGATGAGTTCCTGCATCAGCTCGGCACAGTGAAGTCGGTCGTGCGGCGGTGACTAGATTTGGAAGACTTATCCCAATTACTGAAGCGCAAAGTCCAAAGAGATTCATGTGGCAATAAAACCTTGAATCCTCTACGGCTAGACTTATCCAAATCCGCAAGAAACCTTGCGTCACCGTCCACAACGGAACAAAGAGTAGGGGGAAGCACTTTGCTCAAAATGGACGAAAACTTTTGGACCGGTTCAGTTTTTACGGAAAGCGACGGAGCACCATGGAAGCTGTGTTCTCATGTCGGCGACTTCGACATGAACTTTTAGGAAGACGTTTTTGCAATTAGCGAAGATCCATCCGGAAGCCTTTAACAGAATATTTTGGAGAATGCTTAAGCGGCACTTTGCAGCCTCATCGTTACCCTGATATATATCTGGGTGTTTTTTACTTGCAGTCTCACCGTTTGAGATGGCAACGGATGCGGGTGGAGGGACAGAGAGAAAGAGAGAGAGAGAGAGAAGAGAGAGAAAGAGTTGCTGTAATGCAGGTGCAGACCATACTTCAGGATTTATCTCCACATGCCCTGGCCTTTGTTGTATGTCTGTCTGTCATCAATTTGGTTTGTAAACCGTATCGAAAACCAAACTACTTACTTTTGTCCTAGTAAACATACTTAAAACGTAGGATATTTATAGAGAATGAAAAGATTTTAATTTTTACATTATTCAGTGATACATCGAGTTTCTTGTAAATTTGTACATAACTTATATAGTATAAGATTGCCTTCCATTTTTTGTGATAATAGTTTTATTAATATGTAGCATTTAACTTTTTCTGATCCTGAACAGTATAACTACACCAAGAAAGGATTAATGTAATCGAGAGCTAGTAAAAAAATTCATAAAATTGCTGCATTTTTTAAATTAAATTATAAACACATTTTAAAATTTATGTAGAGTTTCCAAAGATTTGCCACGTGTGGCTTTTAATATGTTCCTATAATGTTTTATGCTGTTTAGGATTAATATAATGACAAAAAGGATCTCAGCATAATAAACTTAGAGTGTTATTGTGATACTTTTAATTCATATTGAATTTCCTTGTAATACTGTGATATAGGTGAGAAGAAGGGAGTTAGGAGAAGCTGTAAAATAAATACATTTTGCAAGTAACAAAGTAAAATTTTTTTTCCTCAATTTCTCTATTCACCAAGTTATTAATACCATCAATCCTTTTCAGTTTGGCACATATAGATCGTCCTAGAAAATACGTCTTAGCGAAGCGAAGACTGTCCACAAGAACAACGTGGCCCTTAGAAAATGTACCTATAAGATTGCAGTATGAGAGAGAGAGAAAGCGAACGAGAGAGGGCCGAAGGGGAGTATATTTACGTTCAAATGGAGAGGGAGGGAGAAAATTTTTGTTTCTAGAAGCTGGTCGAATTGGCGCGAAATTACCCCCCTGCACTAGTCATCGTCATAGCGAGCTTGTCCGTGCGATAAACTACAAGGCGGCTTCCGCTTGGCGTCCACATTCTCCGATAAATGAGTCGGCCGTGTGCTCTCTCTCATCCAGGTCTGGAATGTTCTCATTCAATGCGTAACGATAACGATCTCCGAATACGGAGATACGCTCCCGTTTCCCCGAAGGTCGCAAGTATACACTTCACTGATAAGATAATTCTCCATGCAAACATGCGAATGATCTGTTTGAAAATACTCCAAGAATTGTTTCTTTCGTTTCTGATGTCATATGTATATATGTCCAGCGTATGTCGCCATAACAATGTGTTCATAGATCATCAACCGGCCACGCCGAGACTGCGTCTCCCGGGTAGGACGTTGAACGCGTATGTTTTAGACCTGTAGAGGACGCAAGAGAAAGGCGTTTGAGGGATATCGGAGTCCGAGCGAGCGGCGGGGGCACGAAAATCGTTAGAGTACGCGCACAAAGATATATGTCATATGCGAGAAACAACGGAAGTATTGTGTGGTCTCGGTTCGGTAATGGTTTTAAAATAGAAATTGATCTGCATTTAGATTTTGTAGATGATTGTGCATCTTAATGGTTTTTTTTTTCCTTTTTTTTTTTTTATATATTTTATGTCAAATTTGTTGATTGTGAGGAAACCGAAGATCCCAGGATCTAAAAGCCCGAAGATTCGAGTGTCCGGCGACTCGGAAGGATCTCCACGCGGGTCCAGGAATCTGGACTACTCCAAAAATTTCGGGTGGCACGGTATCAAGCATTCACACGGTAACCGTTAATGTGTTGGATCATTTTCTCGACAACATAATTAGGTCACGGAGTTATTTATGGGAACGAAAAGGAAGAGGGGTTGAGAGTTGGGGGAGGGGGGGGGGATAAAAATAAGAAATTCTTTTTGGCTACAGAAAGCAGTGTGTATTTGGAAGGTTTTTCGTTTCGTTCGACCAGCAGCTCGTGGAGAATTTGAATTATTCGAGAGTGTATGCGGCAAAACGAAACCCAAACGAAAATACTATTTCGGACGGTCAAATGCGATCAAGTTGAACACCACTGCCGGAAGGAGGTTTGTTCGATGGAGACGGCTTGAAAGAAAGAATAAGGGAGAATCTAGCGTAACGAGCTATCGTTTTTTTTTTTCAATACTATGATAATTCATATATCTATATGTATACATGCGAATTGTTTTGCTCGGTTTTCTTTATGTTTCACGTTGATAGGCAGCAGAACGAAAGAACTGAATGCCGAATCCTTTCAAAATTAAAGAAACGGCCCCGACGGGTTACTACCTACGCATTTAATTAAGTTGTAAGGCCATGTATTGCTTCATAATCATCATGGGATCCCGAATTTACGTGTTACGTGAGAAGATAATGAGAGACGGAGGGATCGCCGATGTCCTTTATTTTCATCTCTGCGTATCCCTGCGCGCGCAAATGTTAGAAGAGGGCCAAGACAGGAGGCGAACCAGTATTTCTATGAGTGACGGGAAAATGCTGCATCGTTTTGCGCAATGATCGTGAGGAAAAATGGCAGTTGGGGGAAGCTTTGCGCGAGCTCTTTATTTCAACAAGAAACTTTGGGAACTGCAAACATCATTGGTGTCATGCTGTATACTTAACAGGTCCTGGTGAGAAATATTTTCATTGAAATCCATGAAACTTGCAGAAATCGTGAAGCTTCTATGAGGACACGTTGAGCTCAGGGATGTACAAGTTTTAGAGGAATACAAGGATAAATTACATTTAAGGAAGCTTTAATTAAGGAGATTTGGGAATCTAAGAGAGATGAGACGTTAATCAGGATTTAAGAAATCAACTCTGAAGGATCTAGAAGCCCAAGAATTGTTTCTCTGGATAATATTCGAAAACCATTTCAAATTTTCATCATTAATTTAATCGGAACTAAATTATCGTAAGAATTGTGTGTCCTTGAGAGTTTTATTTTGTAGGGAAACAAGCGAGGATATAATATTTGCGTAATATGGGATAACTTTATAACCAATATAACAAATAATGAATTTGAAATTTTCAAATTTGAAGAAAGGCATTTGAAGAAACCCGCATAAAACTTGTTAGAAGGTATTTTTTTAAAAAAGAAAGGTATATCTCCACGTTATTTCAATATGATTTAGGCAGTATGTGTGTCTGTTATTGCATTACGTTTATATTGGATCATGATGGGGACAAGATGGGGAGGGAGAAGGAGTGAGAGAGAGAGTGTGAGGGGGAGGGAGGGAGAAATATTACTTTATTTTTTCACAGAGCACGGTCGTTCGAATCCATTCTGCATCTGAAATGACTATTCAGTCACGGAATAAGTAGTACGGTTTTAAGGCGACGATTCTCAATATAATGTATCACTCCATGCTAAGGGACTTCGAACGAGAAAGAGTTCATGTATTATTCGGATAAGCAAGTCATTGTCTGTGCAAGTTTGGCGAGAAGTTCCATCAACAGCTATTAGCAGAGAATCTCGTTACTCTTTCAAGAAGGACGCAAGAGATAGGTTTAGATTTACAACACAGAGGACGCAGCTGGAAAATACAACTTTTTCGAAGAAAATGCGAATTATAAAATTTGACGATAAGTTACACGAATTTGGACAGATGTCTTTTAAGCTTTGGGGAAATTAATAAGGAAGACGGATGATAATAATGACAAAAATTAAGAGGAAGATAAATAACGTAATTTGTTGAAATGTAATGGCTATTAAGGAAACAATGCTGATTAAGTGGTGGGAGCAAATAGCAGCTACAAAAACCAGGTAATTGTTTTTAGAAAATCTTTTGCTGTATCTTTTAAATTCTAAATCTCATAAAATTATTTAATCGTATTATTTAATACATTGTCCACAAAGTTAATAATTTAATTAAAATCGAAAATAGATACTGATTTAGTTCATTTTAATATAAAATTTTGCACAATTGATTCATTTAAATATATTATGTTTTAATGAAATATTCTCTTTTTTGCATTTTATAGATATTTAAGAAAATTGTGTACTGAAAGAAATTTATGGAAAAGAATTTACGAACAATAGGAATATTTTTAATATTAAAAATAGAATTTGCATTTATAAAATTGCCGAAAATACGTAGATTATAGTTATGTTCCTATGTAAAAATGCTGAAATCAATCTGAAGAAGCAAACAACAGACAAAACTTGAAAACAAAGAAAGATAAACTTGGTAAGCAATATTGAAAGTTTTAAACTTTATAAAAATGTAATAGGAATCGACTAAGAATACCTGATTTATATTTTCTGTGTAATATTGAAAATAGGCATTACTTAAAGAAGGGAAGGAAAGATGAATTGCATGATTTTGCGGAATATTCGGAGCGTTCAAAGGACAGTGCGTGATAATTGAAATCTGAAGCCTTTATAAGATAATCGCTTTTACCTTGAAAAGTACATTTAAGGATGCTTGAAGATATAATAACATGAATTCATTTTGATCATTTGTATTTGCGCTTTTTGGTGATCATCGCAAAGAACTTTTTCCTATTCGGAAGAGGCTGAATCTTGCTCTTTGTTTGAGATTTCGTAGCAGTCGTCAGTCAAGGACAACACGTTGGACGTGAGTTATCTGTCTCTTTAAAATCTTTGCTGTTAACATGTTTTACAGAGATAGGAAAATGTAGCCAGTCACATTGTGATCTGTCCTTGGTTTTCGAATTCGTCATTAGTCTATAAATATTTGCAGATTATATGCAGATTTTGTACTCGATTCTCTTCTCGTTAACCACCTTTGAGATTTTCGAGGTTTTTTTGTGCACTGGAATTCTTTACATTTTGTACTTCACATAATATTGAATGACTGGATAATTCTTCAACTAAAATCGCGAGAGAAGTTGGATTTATTCGGATTAATTCTTCAATAATATTGCGGAATATGCAGAGTTCCAGAAAACGGCACATCTTTTTTTCTAAGAAAGGTATAGCGTATAATTGATTATATTTAATTATTTAAATATTGGAGTCGTTCAAATTTTCATGTCTTTTTGCAGATTTATTTTTCCAAATGTTAAGTATATGTATATGTGTAATGAAATGGCGTTATTGCGGAAGAAATATTGGATTTAAAAAAAATCAAGAGATTGACATAAAGAAGAGCAACAAAAAACAATAATGAGAAATTTTATCACAAAAAGATCATCGCGAGATTTTACTGTAGAAAAGAATTGTTATAAAATTTGGTTGTAGAAAAAAATTGTTAGATTTTCTGGAAAATTTAATTTATCACTAAAGAAATGAATCATCGTATTGTAATTTTAATATTGTATAATTTTGTTTTATTATGTAAAAATACATCTCAGAAAAAATTAAATTATTGAGCTTGAAAATCATGAAAAATGGAGTTTGGACATCCTGAAGATACGAACCCTCGACATCATGAAAATGTGAAGCCTGGATATCGTGCAACCTGAGGCTGGACATCGTGGGACCCGAGGCTGGACATCGTGGACCGAAGCCTGGACATCGTGGACCTGAGGCTGGACATCGTGGGACCGAAAGCCGGACATCATGGGACCCTGAGGCTGGACATCG